CCACAAAGTTACGGTGAGTGGTTCTCCTTTCGACCATCTGCGTGCCCTAGGTTCATAGAAAGCCGTACATGGAGCTTCCAACTCTTTTCGCAGCCTGATTTTGATGTGTATGCGCCGAAGATTGTTGAAGCTGGAGTTGAGCCTCTTCTTCATAATCCTAATCGCCCGTCACCGGTTGTCAAGCATTTGTACGATAAATGTTAATCCAGGACTGCGTAGCGGCAAAAAATCGTTACTGCTAACGGAATCCTAGTCGCCGCAACCAATAATCATTATCAGTCGTTATCCATATCGGTTCTTCGTGAGATTCCGTATATTTGTGTCTAGGTGTTGCACACCTCTACCGTCAATGAGTAGATATACTAAACTGCAGGGCTCTGCTTCGAACGATATGGGCCTTTATTCTTCAAAATTTTTCTTTTTTTCTTTGGAAACGAGTACCTCCTCTAGACAGATCACCCCCACCCACTCCTCCACTATTTCTATGTAGTGTAGCTTAGCAGTGTTGGAATTATAACAAGGAATTAACACAGTGTTACGTGAATTCCGTGTTATACTAAGGAAATGTAATTCTTCAACCGAGCTTTAGGGAGGGAAGGAGCTCGGAACGGGGTTGCCGGCTTTTAGCACGAGGTAGTCATCGCACCCACCGTGATGATACTACCCTGCTGGAGCGTATAACACCGTGATAATTTCTTGTGATACCAAGCTGTTATGTGTGTCCCCGCCCCTCTCCGCCCTCAACTGTATTTTCACCCTGCTTTGATCCTCAAATACCGAATTTTAGGAGCGGTCGGCCCTGAAACTCTATGAGAGGTTCCTCTCAGAAACACACTGGTTGTATGACACTTTGCATCGAAGAGTGCAAGTTGGAAATACTTACGGATCCGTCAGTGCTCTCTTGTTTATAGCCCATATCATCCTTTAAGACGCACCACGGTCGATTGCTCTAGATACATGATTGCATCTTCACAGTGAACAATGGAAGATGACTTTCTTCTGTTTGAGATATAGTACCTCGGACTCCTCGGACGGTATCCACGAACAGCCTCTTTCCGTGCATTTAGACTCATCTGCCCCTCCATCGGGATAACAGTCCATATACACTTTGTTCCTGAGTGTGTCTCCGAAGTCGACGAAAGCAAGCAATACTGTTAACCACATCCTTAATATGAACATTACTGTCAAAACCCTACAAACGATGAAATGAGTCGAGCAGAGCGGAAGTTCGTTAAGAGCGCAGAAGAACTCACATCTCTAAGCTCGTAGAGGCTGTATATCTGAGCTCTACTTCCGCATATAAAACGTGCGTATCAGCTACATGAATCACGTATCTGAGATATCACTCCTCTTGTCGAACGTATTCATGATTCTATTCGAAGGGTTGGTTAAGTTCATGATCGTAATTAGAGACAGCTCATTAACACTAGATGATACAAGGTAGTTTTTACCATGGTGGTAGTGCGCTTGTTGATATTCCGGGCTGCTGGGTGTTTTTTCGTCGATAAGTAAAAGGACGTCTACTACTTATTTCTTCACCTCCGATTTTTCATCATGGATTCATGTACTTTTCTGTACCTTTGTAATCTTTAGAATCCGTCGGAATTCTCAAAACACAGGTCACTTTCATTGGCGATTAAATGCGCCTTTGAACAGCTAATCCTTTCAACATATCTTGAAACTTGTTGCAAAATTATATCACGAGGTGCTTTCCAGTTGCTCCTAAGTTGTCCATATTTATATCCATTTGTCTGGATCACTCATTTCTTCGATTCATGGTATGCGGACGTACAACACCCCTCATCTAAACACTGGCGCTTTACTGAGCGGATGGCTATTCCTCGATTGACGTTCCACCTGCTTACGTCGTCGCTATAGAAGAAGGTATAGTTGGGGTACGGGCTCACCTCATGGCGGCAAGCGTCGATACTATGCGAAAATGCGAAGATCAGAATAATTATGTTATTACGACATCTGACAAAGACTGGGATCAGTAATGTTCATGAAGCAGGAGGGTGTTCCTGGTGACCGTGTTGCATGGATGACGGTACTTGTAGTATATTGAGAACCAATCGCTTTTTAGTAGATAAGCTCTGTTAGCGGATGCGATCTGGGGAAGAATTGAAATAAACATTCTGGGTGGTCGATCCAACGCTTCAGCGATTTGGATCAAGGTAAGCTTGTATACCGAGCCCAGGAAGTCTATTAGACTAGAGAACTGTCCGGGTTCATCTTGCCTTATTATAGAATCGATTCCAATGGTTGTTCGACTTCGAGGCTCTGAAGAAGGCGTGCTAGCTGAAACGTTAGCCTCATAAAGTTGTAAATCTTGGAAAGGCTGCAGTAAACATGCAAAAGGTCATGCCAAGACCAAAAGAAAGTCGATCGTGGTATATTGAAATAAACGTTCTTGATTCCGGCTTCCCACTCGCCCGATAAACAACTGGAGCGATCATCATCGCACGCCTCATAGAAACTGATACCCTAAATTATGTGTCCCGACATCTCTGGGGCATGCAAAGTGCAAGCTGAACATTGAGAATTATGAGCTTATTAGTTTGTTTGTTCGATTAAAATATCATTTTCGTGCGATGTTTTCATACTTTTCTCGTCACATGTGGCCACTCGTCGTGTTTCGCCTGAAACAGTTCGATGAGCCAACGAGTCTCAAAATTCGAGTGCCTTCTGAACCCTTCATTTTCAAAGTCGTTGTTGGAGGCATTATATTCGAGGTGTAGCCCTAAGTCGTGCCATTCTAGTCGTTCTCCGGAAAAGTCCTTGCTAATCATCACTTGAGGTTCTCCTCCTATTCAAGCGAACTACAATAGATCTTCCTTCCCATACTGAGTAAAGTGTCTATCAGCCCCCTTTTGAAAATAGAAACACTTGGTCCAGAAAGAAAAACCCATAATGAGACGTTATTCGGCTGTTAGAGACCACTTGCAAAGAAAATTGTGCAAGAATAATTTATGATGATGAAGCATAGCTGGAAGTTGGGGTATAGTTGTAGAATGATGCAATATTCAACAGTAGTCGTGTACCACAGTGAGGTAAGAAAGTTGCTGTAAAAAAAGATCGTTAAAAGTATATGTTGAAACATCACAGTATTTAAAGCTAATCAATCTTTGACTGGGATATGTTATCATGAGTGAGACCGGGATGAATCGGTAAAAAAACGGAGACGGTAGAAATAATTAATATCACAATCTTGATGATTGAGCACCTGTTGTAATGCATTATTAATGCTTGAAGTTGGCCCATATCAGAGGTCGACCCATATCCATGCATGTATCGGTAGGCACATGAGGGGTTGTAACATAAATGGTCTGCAGTTGTTAAGTTGACCCATATCAATTTACGTATCCTAAGATCTATGAATTATGGCATCACGCCGGGAAATCGTGTCTACGTGATTTGATGGCTCGTGATTCTAACAATATCTAAGTGGATGTTCTCGAATGGCTTATATATAGAAATAAAGAGACATACAACTTGGTTACATTTGACAGTTGTGGTAGTTATGAGCAGAAGTCAAATATATCGGTATCTTTCTAGGTCAAGTCGACTGTCTGTCACTTGCGCATTCGACAAGTTTATTACTTTAAAAGAAGGTCGAGCGTGTGGCGCGTGCCTCCAATGAGGTAAACCACACACTCTTCAACCATCGAATACCCGTGGGAATAATTTGAAACCATACTTTCCTAGGTCTAGGTCCAACGTTAGAGCAAATTTCTTTGTTAATCGGGCATCTTCTGTGTTTCGTGAATTTGTTAAGAAATACTCCCTGCCCAAAACTTTGTTGCAATTCAAAAGAGCACTGAAAAAATACTTGGCTG